AAAAATTTCAATCAAAATTGAGAAAATGTACTTAATAATTTCACTCAATGGATTCACCCCGACCCTTTCACTCACACCTATTTTTTTACAGTGTATGTTACGTGGTAAGGTAAATTTTTTTACTAATACAATATAAAATAAGATCCACTTCTTATTTGTGGAAGGGCGAAATGGGCGGTGACTATTAGACGCCTTCATTATAGCCATCTTTCTCTATCGCACGGATTTCTATGACTTACTTTATCACTCTCACGTAACGGCCGATGAACCATGTGAACTTTCCGACCCTGTATATTGATGAATGTATAACTCAAAATCCTGAATATCCTCAGTTGTTCTGGTTTCACTTAACACTATTACAGACGGGTTGTAACAAGCCACTTGGGATACTACTAGATTTACTTGATAAAATATTTTGAGAGTTTAAATAAACTATGTTCTTGTTAAATTTAATATATTCATTAGATCTGCCACTCGATCTGCCAGTTTTTACCACAGGTTCAACTAGTTTTTTCGGTTCTCACTAGGTACTTCAGCTGTTACTATTGTTGGTATTCCATTTATGTACCTAATTCTCTTAGTATTATCTCCTTTCTCCACTAACTCATTAAGTTTGCCTCTAATATATTGATAATATTCTTTCTGTCTTTTTGTCTGATCTCCAAAGAGAATTAAGCCTGGTATGTTTATTTTATTTTTATGTTTTAAAACTTGATCTCCCGACAGTGAATTTACCTATTCAAAATACCAATACCTTAATATCATCATTTAATACATTTGTCTTAGCTATAATACTCATCATCCACTATTTCCTTAGAAACTTTTTTAAAGTTTCGTTTACATTTAGCATAGTAATATTTTTTGATCGAAGCTTCCTTTCTTTCATTTCAGAAATAATCTCTTCAAAATTAGTTATAGTTTTTTTCGGATTCAAAACTAGATGTCAGCATGCTAATGCCCCTAGAATATTAATTTTCTCTATTTTCAATGGTATACACCTTAATTCAGAAGTTGTAAGTCCAGAGCACTTTTCACGGAGTTTTTTTAAAGCTATCACAAATTATGGTGACTCGTATTTTTTTTACAAAAATTACATAACATAATTTTTTCCTCTATGAAATTTTTCAGACTTTTGCCCTAATTTAATATCAAATCCGATCCTGCTTCAATATAAAAAATGATAAATTCCAATATAAAGAAGTCTATTACTTTATACAAATTCCAGTTTTTTGTTATCCTCTTTCCTACTGCAGATATACATTCCACATTATATTTCACATTATAACTTGAATACTCTTCAAAATATCAATTCATAAAAAAGTTCACCATGTAGCCCAATTTTTGTGCTAACTATCCATATAACTTGTGAAGTAATTTCCTTGTTTTACCACTGTAAAAAGCCACCAAAGCAAGAGCAACCTGTTTTACTTCACACTTCAGTTAATTCGTTATTTGAAATCTCTCAAAAATATTAGGTATTGAATGTATTGTTACACATTTAGCAATCAATAGAAAATTGTAAATTGCAACGTAGGTACTTAAGTACCTTCTTATTTGATTCCCAATTATCTAAAGACCAGTAAATACAAATACTTTACAAGAATACTTTATTGACACAAATTGATTGTACATTTTAAAAACATTTAAAATTATTTAAAAAACCAGTGGAGTACGATTTTTTTTCGAAAAAGGTCCCCTACTCCTCCAATAACTACGCCACTGGGGTGTATTTTGGAATAAGTTATCCATGAAAAAATAGTCCCTCCTAAAAAAATGTCATCCCCAAAATTTTATTACTCAAACTTTTATGCCAGTGGTTACAGAAAAAATAATATAAATATTTGAAACTTTTAACACCCTGTATCTACGTAGGAAAGTGTCCTATCAAATATTTTTATAGGGCAAAACTTGATTATTTTCATCAGTAGAATACGCTATTAAAGTTTGGCAAAACTTATTATTAACACCCTCTATATATCGAATTTTTATAATTTATTTATCACAATTATAATCATATGATTAAAGATTTATAATTGTAACCATAATCAAATAACAATAATTGTTTTGTCAATTTTTTATGATATTGCTGGTGCTATAGTCAAAATATATTTCCAGTTATAAAATTACTATTTTCAGTATTTTCTAAAATCACTGAAACAATTACTTAGGTACCTTATTTGTCACATTTGCGCTTTTCGGTGTAAATGGAATACACGACCTTAGGAGTGAGTCACAAGGTGGCAATGGGGGGCTAGTTTTTAGTTCAATCTATCTGAAACCCAATCTAAATAGATTACAACTTTATTTTTCTTAATTTGTATTTGCAGATATTTGCAGTTTAAACTATTAATTATATTTTTATTAAAGCTTGCATATTTTATAGCTATTATTAATTATTTTAAATAAATTTATTGTTTCAGGTGAAAGACCTTATTCTTGCAATGAATGTCAACATCACTTCACTAATTGGCCAAATTACAATAAACACATGAAACGCAGACATGGTATCAATACCAGTGTAACTTGTAGGACTAAACAAGACATACCTCCTACAGGTATGCCACATCGTAATCCACCAGGAACCGTTTTAGCTCCACCACAACCAGTCGTTATTCCAGAAAATTTTGTTGAACCTCCACCAACATTCTACCCAGTATTAAGTTTATATAATATTCCTGAGGAACTTTTACAACAAAGAGTCTGATTTTTATTAAAACCAGTAGCTAATAGGCTAAATTAATTTCACAATATGTAATAAAGGTATAAAATATACTTAGTGTGTAATTGTCATCAGTTTAAGGCCAAAAAGCGTTAATGAACCAATCCCACAGCATATGATGTCCCTGGGATATCCTCATTTAGTCCTATATATCCTAATCGCGGATCTCAGTCCTCAAGATATCCTCATGATATTTAAATAAGACAAGTAGATATCAATATCCTAGTTGAGGATATCCAAAGTAAATCCAGACAGGATGTCCTGGAAATATCCTATGAAGATATTAAAAGCCGAACAATCTCCAATTTTGGGATATCCTAGGCAAATTCTAGAGTGATCCCATCCTGAGATGGTTCTTGGCTTGGCACAGTGCATGGTGCATGCGCAGTATGACATATTGATGTAGGTATGACCCGTATCTCGCCATTTTCTGTTTTCTTTGTTTTATAAGTGTGTGACTCAATGACGTTTTTATTAATTTGAAAAGTCGAAAGTGAAATTTAAAGCTTGTTAAAATAATTAAGTGACGTGCATCAACCAGAAGTAAGTATTTAAACTACCTTTGGTATTAAGGTATTAATATCGTGGAATAAACATATAGGTTAGAATCGTATATACTATTAACTAATTTCGTTCTTACTGTTTGTATCATGCAATAATTATATAATGCCTAAAGAACGCATTAAAAAAACATGTTTTCAAATATTTTTTATATAGAGCCTAACCATTCAAAAATTAGTAGTTTTTTTTATCACCATTTGTAATAGATGTGTATAAGTGGTATCACCAAATCTACATACTATGTTCAAATATCTATAATTTTTAGTTTTGAATGTGTTGTATATAGGTGTTCTGACAAAGGGTTGTAACCCATAAATTTAATTAATTTATTATAGTTCTATGTCTGTAATATTTGTACCAACATTGTGAGTTATAAGGATTACATTATAAATCGTAGGCAGAATTACGTATTATCTATTAGAATAGCTTAAATTTGATATCAACAGATTATAATGCATAGTTCATGAAATTAGAATAGTCTTGTTAAATGTATTTAATGGAAATTTTTGTTTTGTCATTTGTCTACAATGTAAATGTATTATTAACATACTTTTTCTACAAATTTACAGCTGGAATTTCACAAGGACATTACACAAAAAATTGCCCAGAAAAAGATAATGGAGAGAGCATTAAAACATGCCGCGGCATGCAAATGAGAGACTATAAAAAGAGATCAGATCAACAGCACATAAGGAATAGTTATACATACGAGAATACAAATAATAAGTTAGTGGTGTATATAACTGTAATAAAAAAGTTGATTGATATCATAGAAAGAGTTGATTATATATATAATTTATAAGCAAAATGGAAGCATGCTCGTAGCGTGGATGACTGATATTTAAGTTGTAAATTAGGTACCTATTCCTCATTTCTAGCCACGAATTCAAATATCATATGTTAGAAAATTTAGTAAGCCTTACTACAGCTTATGTTTATTTCTGACCTTATTTACTATTTATTTGATTATCGCATATAATAAACCATAGGATATAAAAACATACAACATAAAAATTGTACTTACTGCGAAAAGTGTAGGCATCCGCACAACGAGAACATCATTTAAAAGAGTTAATTAAAAATCTCATAACATATTTCATGTACATAGTCTATCTACATCTATCTAAGATAGATATAACTATAATGTATCTATCTTTGGCAAAAATTTACTAACTGATTTACAAATATGTGGGGTTTCTAAAAAAAGGCCTTCCATCTTATTTGAAAAATAAAGTCATTCTAGTCATTTTTTTAAATTTTAAATAAGTGCGCAGTTAAATAAATTTAAAATGTTTTTAAAACTTTGTTAAAATAATATACAGAGTGTTAGAAGTTTGACTGCTTTAATTTTAACAGACGATAGAATATATTAAAATAAATCAAGAAAACCTTATATGACACGGGTCCTAAACTCAACCATTTTCGACGTGAATATTTAGGTACGCTGGGTAATAGGGGATATGTCAACTTACACCTAGAGATTCGGCGTGTATACCCAATCTCCGGGTCGTTCCATATAATATACGTACGTTTCTCCCTGATCGGCATGTATACCCATCAGACCGGGAAGCATTGTATATTGAGAGTCCGACAACATCGGCCACCAGGACGTATAAAACTTAAAGGACAGTACGAATTGTAAGGCGAGATACTTCGGATCCCATTTTACCATCCTATCGCCACCCGATTTTTCCCCTTTGCACCGCCTGGGCTTTCTTCACTGGTTATTGCTTCCGCTTACTAATTCTGCATTTACTTGCAAGTTCATATTACCGATATTTGACCACTGACCTGAGTTTAAATAATTCCGAAATAATTCCGCATAATTTTGATTTATTTTACAGAATCAGCGGGGACCAACAAAAACATCTACAAATAATTTAGTTCTTTATCTGGCCGTTTAAAATCACCTTTTTTTTACTTAAAACCGTCTGCTATTGTAAAGTAATACATTTTTCATTTTTTTGATTCCGTCCATAAATATTTGTTTCTTTTCTAAGGTGATAAATAAAAATTGTAGAAACCAGGGATTACAACTTTAAGTTTTGTCTCTAATACCGATTTTGTATATAATTATTGTTTAATAAACTTGTAAATTGTTCCAGTCATTTAGTAGTGGGTAGAAATAAAGATTGACACGATTTGTATTTGTACAAAGTATTAATATTTTTCCTCGTGAATAAATCCAGTAAAAATTGATAGGTGTATTTCTTTCAACGCCGAGGTAAACTGATAACATTCCGAACCAGCAAAAACACTGATACCCTTTTGTAGGACTCCCGTTTAATTTTATATTTAAAATAAACTACACTGAGAAAACTACTCTCTGCCGTTTTCTCCTAAAAGAAATACAATTGACCCCTGGAATTAATTTTCTTCACTGTAGCTACCTGTGCACTTTACTCTAGACCGAGGGTAAGGGTTACGTGGAGTCTCCCCCACGTAAAATATAGAGAAACTGGCGCCCGAGACTAACCGCATATATAAATTATTAACTAATTTTGCCGTTTAGAGGCCAGTCCGAGGAATAAAAGACCTTTCCGAAAAATTAAATTTCAGGGGGTGCACACACCATAGTTAAAAATAATAAAAAAATTAACACCGACCGATCCATAGAGAACCGAGGAAAAGTGCGTCACAGTATTTTAAAAACGGTTAATCTTACGCCCCTGTAATATACAACTTTTTTGTTTATTTATGATTACTCTATCGTACTGAAGTAATGACAGTCAAAAGGAAAAAATCATTATTGTAGAAACTTTATCTGAGGAATATCCAAGCGGAACAATATCCAAAAGTAAAAATAAAAATTTATGCCACTGACTGGGAATAATGATGTTTAAAATTATTTTTGAATTTGAAAATTCCATTACATTTATTTTCTGAAACGAATGGTTTTAGCGATATTTTAAACTTATTCGACTGTGTAATAAGCCTATTTTAAATTTAAGATATATTTTTTCGTAAATTAAGTAAGTACATTTATCAAATTTCCAAAATAATAATAAGTGACACAATGCTGGAGTTATTCCATGATAGTTGGGGAGTCAGGATAATTGTGTTGGATGTTCATGCTAAATAGAATTCATTTGTTGTAATCGGTAGATAATGACGGTAGATGAATACTTAAGATAACCATAAAGTCTCTAATACGGGGGAGGTCGGGAAGGTCATTGTTATTGCAAAATAAATTTCAGAAATGCATTTTTTAAATTTTTTTTAAATTTTAGGAAATAAAGTAATATAAATAAGTAAAGTTGTTCAGAATCAAATTTTCTACAAGATAGTTTCGGTTATTAAAAGGTTGAATTTTGTTTTTCAATTGCGAAATTGTTTTTAAAAATCAATAAAATTGAAAAATCGATATATCGAAAAAGTAAGTACAAAAAAATGCTTAACTGTTACTGGAACTGCACTGGAGGATGTCTTTTGGTTAGTAGAACATGTAATCCCAAGACTATTTTCCTATCTCAAAATGGCGGCCTATTCAAAATGATTTGCCCATTAAATTTCAAGTAGCTACGAAATTGGCAGGTGAATAGGGATTTTTTTTAAATTGGTTTAACAACATTTTCAACAACAATAATGTCCGTCGAAAATTTTAGATAGCTTACTTCATCTATACTCGGCGGCCGAAATTATAAAGAGTGACTAATACATAATATAAAAACACTATTACCATAATGCGTATAAAATATAAAATGATTTCTATACGGTTCAATATTATTTATCTTTGTGCCGCTCGCCATGCACATCGGTAGAATCTATAATCGTGTATAGACCGAGTTACACTGAACGTCGATCTATATTTTATCTCTGTCTTTTGCACTTGGTAGGGAATAGGGAAATGCTTTTTTAGTGGGTGTAAACGGACTTGATTTGCCCGACCTGAGAAACGTCATAGCATAAGCGTAGACGAGGGGTCTAATTCCATGGCTATAATAAATTTATAAATTAAAAAAACACAACTGGGACGTTTTAAAATGCTGTAATAATTAAAATTGATCAAAGTGCCGGTTATAGCAAACCGTAAAAAATATTAGTCGAGTATAGCAGCAAAATTAAGGCGCGACGGAGAGATTTTGTGAACCGTAATTGCAAATTCTTTTTTTACAGCAATGAATTTATTTTGACTTTACTTATTTTTTTCTCAACTTTTCAATTATGTCAATTAAAATTTTATAGGCGCAATGGAAACGCCGAAGACTTGCGTTTTTTTACATTTTTCATTAATCCCATTTTTTTCTGACTTATGAACATTTATATATGTATTTACAAGCAAACATATTTTTCAATTTTTTAAATTGCTTTTGTAGTTTGAATGGTAAGTAAAGGATAATACGGTTACAGGCAATACGTAAAAAATTGAATGCAAGTAAATTCTGCTATTTTTAACATTAGTAAATTTATTGATACACAAACAGATTTAGAGTTATTATCAGTGTATTTATTTTTTTTTCGCTGGCGGGGAGTTTTCATCCTAGTCTGAAAC